AATACAAGGAAAAAAAATAACAGAAGAAAAGGAGAAGGGTCACACAAACAATGCTTTTAACTTTTTAGTGATAAGAAGGTTGCTGAAGCAGAAAATCCAATTTTGGAAACCTCAAAGTGTGCTTAAACTGCAGTTCTGTACCTTGATAGAGACGCACAAATAAATGGTGCTGTATTGAAGCAAAGTATACTTGGGACTTCACAAGTAGTGGCTGTGTTAGCATCTAGATAGGAGTATAGTGTGTTGTTACTGGCTTTTAGTGGTCTTTGTTTTGGGTTGCTGCTTTGTTGCTAGATGGAGAATTGGTTTTGTGTTCTGTTCTCTGTTCTTTTCCTACCTACTAATTTTTCTGTGATGAAATGAGCTCAAGTCTGGAGGCTATTTTCTAATGTAAGGAAAACCTAAAGAGAAATGGTTTGGCTTTTTTTTTTTTTTAAAGTCGCTCTCTTCTAAGTGAGCTGTGTTAGAACTTGAAGGGAGAAGTCTGTTTATATTTTTACCTAAATAGCCTAGTAATAACCTAATCTAGAGAGATATTTCATTGTTAAATAAGCAAAAGTTAAGCATTATGCACATTAACTTCATTAAGTTCCTAGACGCTGGTGCAATATTAAAAACTGATTTTTTTTCTAATATTTTTTCTAATACTTTCCAACAATATACTGTCAGTTCACAGAATTTGAATATTAGATGATACAGCCTCTGGGGCAATAAGCATCTGCTTTTCTCTTGTGTTTCTTTGATTTTGTGTCCTCGGTATGTTCTGGGATGATGCTGTGCTAAGAAAATGTTCAGGTAACTAGCAAATACCTTCTGGCATGGATTCCAGAATGAAATGATTTAAAATAACAAAATGTTGGGATATTCTAGATTGTGCCGATTGAAATGAGAAGCTTGCAGTGTGTGGGGATTCTGCTGTGTGTAACTGAACTTGAATGATGTGCACGGGGTTATAATTAGAAATGAACACAACGATTTATCTTCTCTTTGGTAATTCTGTATTTAAGAGAATAATATGCACAGTTGTTGGTTGGAAATCAGAATTTCAGTGATTAATGTTTAGAGTGTCATCATTTGCCCTCTATCCTTTTGTGCAGTCCATCTATTTGAAGCTGAATGCAGAGTTGCCTTGCTTTCATGAGTGAGTATCTTGGCCATGGCACGGGTGTTGGCTCAGCTGAAGGAAGTCGTTGTGCAGGGCAAAAGGCAGAAGGAGCCACTGCTACATGTATGTTGTATATTCCAGACTGAGCAACAGCATCTTTTGGTCTTGCTGCACACTTTTCCTCTCTGTGTTTGCACACAGGTGTTTCAGTTTTTTCTCTCCCATTTATGGGAGAGAACTTCTGTTGCTTTGGTACCTATAAAGTTACTGAGATGTGGTAAACTGATCATTTTATTTAGTTAACTAAGGAGTATTGCCAGCCTCAAGAAACTACTTGTATGTCTTAATTTCCCTCTGGCAAAAGCTTTATGCAAGGTATTGAAGATCATTTGAGCATGAACTTTGTTTAACTAATAGTGAAAATAAATTCCACAGTTAGTTCTCCATTAATAATGTTTAAACAGTTGAATCAAAGTTAGTTTGAATGACCTAACTGGTTCCATTTGGTTTAGTTTGAGGGAGAAGAAGTGAGGAATCCAGATGGAAAGCAAAGAAACTGGGAGCAACTTCATCAGTTTACAACTGGAGTTATCCTCAGAGGCGATAGTAGCCTGCATTAACATCAGTTTTCTGGAGGAGTGAAAAAACAACCCAAAACAAAGTCAAACCTCATAACCTAACAACAACCCTCCCCTTCACCTGACCACCAGTAGAACTCTGAGTTCAAGTTTCTGTTATTAGAATTGTTTACCAAACCCATGTTGAGCAATGTCTGAGCACACAACATGTGCACATTTCACTGCAAGTTCACTGTAAAGTGTGCGGTGTGAACCATTATTTTATTACAATTCATATGCTTGCACTTCTGTGGTTAGGGTAGAGCTTACTTGTAAATCAGCAGAAGAATTTTGAAAATTGAGTTCATGACATGCTGTTATTTTAGTGGTCTCCTAAAGTAGCATTTAAAATTAAAAATATTTTTCAAAATGGCACATTTTGACAGAATGGCATCCAAAGCAGGGCGTGGACTGACTTAATATTCTACCAGACAGCTGCTATCAATAGCACTTTTGGGATTGAATCTTTTCCTGTTGTTGGCATCATAATAATATAAACAACTAAATTCTGAGATTCAAATTTGAGTCTAGTCTGAAAATAAGCTTTTGGAAACCTTAAGGTATTAGTTATGGCCTAAGAGTGTGTTCAGAAGGTGATTCATCACACATTCGCTACATTAGTCTCTAGCAAAATCTCTTAAAGTAGAATGCTGACAGTAAACATGCAGAAGTAAATACAACTACCTTACTTCTAGATGAATCATGAATGCTGTTGTGTGAGTAGCTCAAGGTTTAAAAGGTAAAATGCCATTTTTATTCTGTTAACAGTGGGGTATTTTTTAGTGAGCATGGAACCAACACACGTTTACATCACTCAGCAGTGCAAAGAAGAAATCTTGACACCACCGAAAGTCAGGAGCTATGTTCTCGTGATTAGCAGAGTCAGAGGCTGCATGCTGTACACCTTATTCAAGCACATGTGACTGCTGAACTTTAAGTTACCACGTCTGAATGGCACCAGTAGCTTGGCAAACTTTGATACTAAGAATTTATTGTTGATCATGATCTAATCTCTACAATGACCATTTTTTCTTTATTTGACATTCATGACACTAGAGAGCCATTTTTTTTTTTAGATTGAGAAACAAAACATTAACTCATTCAGCTTGTAGAGAATTTCAAATGAATTTACTAATCTTAGTATTGCTTATGGGTTAGTCCAGTTTATTTATGCTGCAGTGGGAGACTTTGGACTTGTCTTCCCATTTGTAAATTACTAGTACCTCAGTAGTTCAGTGTTGTACTTAGACCTATCTACTGAATTTTTGTCTAAAGTGCTTCGGTGTTCATGTTAAACTGATATTAACTAGACTGATAGTAACAGTGGATCTAATAGAAAGGAATAATTTGAAGGAATCTGATGTGGAAGAAGTTAACTACCACATTCAGCAGATGTACTTAACTATAAATGCTACTTTAGTGCATAACTGTTCTTCACCAGGAAAGGTTTTGCTTAGATTCTCAAACACTGAGTAGAAAACCAATGTCTCTTTTTACTTAGAAAAACTACTATATGACTTATAGTTCTCAGAATAATATCTAGTTTTGGAGTAACTTGTAGTAGCTGAGGAGTATCAGCACTGCATTTCAAAAATAGTTGTAAATGGTCTACCTGCTAATGTAGCTAGCTAAAATCCTTTAAAATGAAAGATACATTTGTAGAGTGGTAGATTGTGAAATAATCTCTCTTAGAGCTACCACTGAGTAGAAAAAATGGAAGCAAGAGGAGGAGGATTACTCCTGAACATTTATTATTTTCTTAAAAGAATAAACTTGAAAGGCCTGGTTTTTGTTTGCATTCAGTATGTTTCACATGTGAATCAAAAATTTGTCATTCTCTGCTTGAGTCAGATCACTTGCATTGAAAATCTGCATCCAAAAATCTTTACAGCTGCTTCCAGGTAATGTTCACTACATGGAAAAAACCTATGGCATGTGTGTTTATGTACTGGCACAAATGTTTGATATCTACAACTATTATCTATTTGTATTGTCAGATACAGCTTTATGTATTGGATTTGTGCTTTGTAAACATTGTAGAAGTAGTGAGTAGCTGTTGAGTTCATTGCTTAGAAAAGATCTTATGAGAGACAATATTCTGGAATATTTCAGATTTATAGTTCCATGGATTAATACTTCATATAATTTGTCTTCTTATTATATAATGCTTTTCTTCAGTTTGTCTTGTGCTGAAAAGCAGCTTAGTTTAAAAGTCTTTCCTTTCAGGTTTCCCTTCTTTGAAGCAGTTTGTTTATTTCCGGTGCAAGGTGCCTGTAAAGGATGTTCCTGTGGTTATGACAGACAGAACCATTTTGTATGTAACCTTAACTTGCACAAATGACAGCGTCACAAGAGAGTATAAGCTTATTTTCAAAACTACAATAAACAAGATCTGGGGATATTTGGTAACTGTTTTGTAATCTTTTTAGTTTCATAAGCCTTTCTTGACCCTCTTTAAGACTTAGTCACAAGCTTCTTTTGGTATTTTAGACATATTTCACACTTTAACAAATCTCTTAATACTTTCTCTGTGGTAATGAAAAGACCTAGAAATGTTAAGTGTTAGTTTGATGTAAATGGTTTCTGGTAACTTACAAAACCACAAAGTCATAGTTGCTTCTAGATTCTCTCCATAAACAAAACACTGAAGGTAACAATTACTTGTACTGTTACAGAACCTCTCTCATCACACAGTAGGCGTAGAATGAACCAGTTAACTTTGCTGGTTACTGTTCATATAAAAGCACTCAAAAGACTGAAGCCAAAATTCAGAACAACAAGCCCGCATGTTGCCAAACAACTAGACTTATCTTTCCCAATGACTGGATGGTTTCATAGAGTTTAGTTGGGGATTTGTTTTTTTTGACTTTGCTAAGGTTGCAGTTCCACTTTCAACACTTTCCGTAACTGTAACAGAAAGCTAATGAAACTGATGATGGCTTTCAGAAATGACTGCATGTTCCAGAATATTCATGCTTCTGTCCAATAATTTTTAGAAACATTTTAATCTTATTCCAAGCTTTCGTACCTTTGATGAACCAAAACACTGTGCCAAGTCTATATGGCAGATAATACTGATGTTGAAATTGTCCGGTTTGACAGAAGAAGTTTGGCTGACTTCCTGGGAAAAGGAAATCTCTGAAAGATCTCAGTAACAGAAATGAAAATGTGGAATTGAAGCTGGAACAAGTTTATTCCATCTTTATACTATGTTCATTTGCCTTTAGTGTCAGAAACTATTAACACTTTTTTTTCTCCCCTCTCTCCCTCCCACTCAGGGAGGCAATAATGCAGGGCATACTGTTGTTGTGGATGCTGTGGAGTATGACTTTCACCTTCTGCCAAGTGGGATCATCAATCCAAGAGTCACTGCATTCATTGGTAAGTGGACATACCTTAAAGATAGAGTACTGTCGTTACAGTCTTCTGACATTAAAATAATGTATCTGAGGACGTTGAGGATAAGGATTCTTTTTCTTCAGTTTTTCACAGGCTTGAACTGTTCTGCTATCATCCTAATGCTGCCCTAACGCATTTGTGAAGTTTGGATTACGGAAGCTTCCTTTATTGTCTTAGATAGTTCATCTTTGTTCTTATCTATCGATACAAACAGCTAGTTGCCCAGGATATCTTCATTCTCCCACTTCCTCTTATTTTCTCTACCAATTACTTATTTTATTCTCCCAGTACCTCTTCTCTGTTTAAATCTTTAGGCCTGCTAAGGACCTACTGGTACTTTTTGAAACATAGATCTTTCCTCTTTTATCCATTGAATTGTGAAGTGAATGTTGACTCCAAAAGACTTCGTCAGCGTAGAGTTCTTACCAAGAAGTCCTCTCAGGAGAGTACATTAGAACTTCAGGGCAGTGACAGTACTAGGTGATGTGAGCATCTATGATCTCTTTTCTTCATGAAAGGGGATTTAGTCTGTTCAGTCTGTTGTCCCCACAAAACTACTTACCCCCCTCCTTGGCTTGGAATCCTGTTTCCAATCCTACACGTGGTTTGTTTTTTTTTTTCCCTTTGGATTGCTTGTATGACCAACCTTAATAATGCTACATGGCCCATACAATTCCTTCTAAAAATGAAGATAAATATAAAATGTGTACACAGCATTATAATTGTATGTGTGCTTGAGTGGTGTTTCACTAAGAAGGTGGATCTCTGGGTCACTAAAGGCTATGACCTCACAACACTTTCATCTTGCTTTTTTGATATCCAGAACTCCTGTCCCTTACACAGTGTACTTGTCCAAATAGGACTCTGCTGCCATGCTCTTCCTGTCCCTTCTTCCTACACCTCGTTGCTTTGAGACTGTAATCTTGCCTCTCAGCTTGGTACATGTGCCAAGAGCAAGTGGTCATTGACAGTATTGACAATTTGCTAAACAGTAGCTCCAGAGTCTCTGTCACAAGTTACTCAATTCATAGACAGTCCAGGTGTAGTGGCTGTATACTCTGTCATCACTAACTCTGTACTTGATGGGATTTGGTGGTTAATTGCCTCTTTTCAACTGTTATATTGTGACTTGCTAATGGCACAGTTTTGGATCAACTTGCCCTTCCTAATACTTCTATAGAAACTGAGTCAATGGGCATGGAAATAGATTCCTGCTGATGAAGGGGAGTTTGGGATGTTAACTGTTTCTAGTTTTGAGGGCTGAGGCAGATAGTACTTCTGTTCTTTTTTGATATGTTACTGTGTTATGTTTCTTAAGGAGATTATTACTTGAAAACAGTAAAAAAGGATGTCTCTTTTTGGGGAAAAAAAACCAACTTAGGATTCCAGTGAAAGAGCTTATGGATTCAAAAAATGGCAAGGGCAAAATAATCAGAGTATTATAATAAAATACCCATTGATTAGGACTACACCATGAAGGTTATAGTGAAGAAGTCTTAAAATACTTTGTATTTTGATGCTTAGAATGCTTTTATCTTTGTGAAATTAGGTGATATGCAAATAGTTTTGAAAGGCAGGTCCCTTTTTTACCTAGATGTTATACTGGTAGCTTTCGATCTACTGAGTTTGCCATGATCTTAGGATGGTTCAGTTTTGCCATATGGGAATGCTCCTCCTTAGGCTCTCAGTGATGCTGGTTCATTGCATGAGCTAGTAGTCTTTTTCTGAGCAATGTGATGGCTATAGGAAGATGAGCTTGCTTTCGACAGATCTTTTTCCTCTGTTATTTTTGCTAGTCTGTTAACAACCCCAAATCTATATACAAAATATCTCATCTCTGTTGCAGAAGGAACACAGCCTGAGGGGATGCTAGTGTTTATAGTGATCATAGAAATGTGCTAAGCTTTTAAAAAACAATAGAGTTATTACAGTGAAGTATAAAGCAGGAAGTTAATTTTAGATAAGAGGAAGAGGAAGTTGCATTTCAGACTGTCCCACGATTTTGTTACTGTTCTCCTTTAAACTGAAAGTTTAGTTGAGTTTATTAAAAAGATTCAGTGCCTGTAGAAAGGAGTAAATCTGTCTTCTAGACAAATTCCTAAGAAAAAAAATTGTGTTATCTTGAAAGTTTAAAAACTTAAGTAAAATACTCTGCACACAAAACATGAAGTGTTTTTGAGCTGTTTGAAATATTTTCTCCCATCCTCAACAGTGCATTAAATTAATGTAATGTAATGGTTTTCTTCAGGAAATGGCGTTGTAATTCATTTGCCAGGACTCTTTGAAGAAGCTGAAAAAAACTTAAAGAAAGGAAAAGGTGAGAAAATTTTAAGATACTACCTTTAAAATAGTTTGTGGGGCATTCTTCAAAAAATTTAGATGGAGGATGCCTCTGTTGAGGTGATATACAATGTATTTTTCCATAACTCCCTTTAGCTGCTGCATACTGACAGGAGTCTTGCTAGAAGTTTCATGGCCCTCATGGGAAGACAGATAAAAGAAATCTCTGTACAGTTTCAGAATATATTCTAAATATAAATTATCTACAGACATTTTTCTTTGCTTAAAAAAGTGAATTTAAGAAGTGAAACAACTTCTTTAAGTGTGTTAATCTGTTCATAGTTGTTTTACCTCTTACAATATTGGTGTACACTTTGACCTTTTTAATGTAAACAAGTGCTGTAGTAATCACTTCTTGATTCAGAACTCAGTTTTTGGATACTTTGTGTTATGTCTATTGCTACGCTTGGCAGCAGTCTACTGTAAGTGAGGTAAAGCAATGCTCTAGATTATTCAAAATCAAAAAAGCTATTAGTTGTTTGCTAGAATTGAGGAATTAGTAGAATAGCTTGAATTCTTCTTCAGAATAAGCCTGATTTTTCTCAGCTTTACAGGTTGATGCCAAGTTTTAATTACTGAAATTACTTTTTTTTTCACTCTGCAATGTGATTGCTCAGTCTTTAAATAGATTGACTGAAGAGTAAACATGAAAAGCATTTATACTTTATGCATCAGAAGACAAAAATGCTATACAAAACATAATTTGAACTATTTAATTTTGTCTTTTAAGGGCTAGAAGGCTGGGAGAAAAGACTAATAATTTCAGACAGGGCTCATATTGGTAAGTTCCTATTTGGGGTTTGGTTTTCTGTTGATTTTTTTTTTTTTTTTTTAATTAATCTCTGGTTTCTCTGAACTTTCTGTGGCAGTAAAAGTGTGACCATTTTTAGCCATCTCTTTACGTAGGTCTGTACTTTTCTTTGGATTAAGTCTCTGTGGGCTGCTTTGGTTTATTGAAGGTCCTAGAAAAAACTGTTCCTCACTCAGGACCCTCCCAGTTTTATATTCTAGTGACTCTTTAATCCTATTCCATAAGCATCACCTAGTCAGGAAAGCAGGTTCACTTTGTAAGTCAAAGATTAGAAGCACAGAGCAGTCAAAAAGCATTCAGAAGTGAATTGACTGAAGGATTCATTTACCCTTCGGGTGCAAATAAAGTGTTGCTTACAGCAACTTTTTTGTTGGGAAACCACGTGACCAGGTTTGACTTCAAACTAGTGATCTCCCTACCAAGGAAATTGCCACATGCTTCTGAAAGGAGATTTTATGGTAAGGACTCTGTAGGGACGGAGAGAATGACTGACTGCCTTCCTCACAAGGAGCTCATCAGTCAAGCACTGATTCCAGGCTATGCTCCAGACAGCAATGCGGTTCAGAGCCTGGAGTAAAATAGTGTTTAGAGTCCAATCCACTAATGCAGAGCTTCAGAGACTCTTCCTGTACCACTCCTAACACATCTTTATTATGTAGATTCATCCTTTAAATTAGTTCTTTGGATATTATAACATTATTGCTGCTCTGGTAGTCGTTTTCTGAAGATGCAAACTGTTGAGGACTGTACGAGATAAAAGCTTATAACACCGAAAAAAGGTTTTGCTTTCTTTGGGGTTTTTTTTGTGTTGCTTAGTGAGTGAACATGTTATTTCACAGTAAATGTTTTTACTTTGGAGTAACTAATGAGTTTGGAATAGTTAGTAACTGTATCTAAGTTACCGATATCTTTTCTGATGGTAGAATCACTGTAGGTGAATTACTTGGAACTTGCTTGATTATTAGAAAAACTTTTTTCTGTGGTGATTATATTACAATGGCAATACTGGAAAGTTTTTATCACTACACAGATTGTGAGTAAAAAGGATTAGTAACTGACTGTCACTCATAATCATTCAGCCTCTTAACAGAAATGAACTTTCAGAATGCCTCTGTTTGGAAAGTTTTGATGGCAATCTGAAGATCTGTTGTCATGATAAAAATGTCTTCTCTAAAAGGGCTGTTGTTGATCTGTGAATATTTAGTTTATAACAAAGGATCAACCAAAGATAGGTTCAAGCTGCTGGACATAACATAATCCTTTACAATACAGGAATGTGTGGAAATAAACACAAAAACAAATTAATAAGGCAAACAGGAAAACCACTCTTGCAGAGAGACTAGAGTACTTATTAAATGAATCTGTTTCTTGTAAGTTTTCAGTCTTTCCTGTGTAATGTGTACATTAGTTTTTAACTTTCAGGAGGATAGCACTTAAGAAAACTAAGCTGGCTTCTGTTTGTTTGTATACTGTGCACAGATGTTTGTATTTGACATGAGTCTTGTAAGATTTGGGATTTTGGTTGTGGGTTTTTTGGCTTTTATGGTAGACAAAGACTTGATGCAAGAGATACTTTTCATAATCTTTGTAATTAATAACAATGTAATGCATTAAAAAAAATCGGGCCTTATGAAGATGACCTCTGTTATCATAACAGATGTTGGTGGGAGCTTTTGTTATTTCCAAATGTGTTTTAATTGATGTTGTCTAAAACATAAAAGTAAAATGGTTTAAGAAGTCTTTAGAGTAAGTGAGAATGTTCACTTTAAACTCCCACCTAAATTTCACCAGTATGACCTTTTTTTACTACAGTTTGTTTCCAGGATTTTTTTCTACTGCATGCTTTTTTTTAATCCGTATAATTTTTTGGGCTACTACAAAGCAGAAATGGCTTATTTATTCTATGGGATGTGTCTACTCAGTCTGCAAGTATTCTACAAAATAAACACTTTAAAGAAAGTATCTGAAAAACCTTAGAACTCTTCCATGTGAAAAAATATAACTTGTAAAAGAGGAGAAAAAAACTCTTCTCATTTTATTTGCCTCTCTTCATTGTGTATATTATTTTTCCACATTGATAAAAAAATAGGGTGGAGTTGATTTGAAGAAATCATTAATGATGTAGTAATTTGTTTCACACAAATTTTCAACTTACTTATTTTCTTAGTGTTTGATTTCCACCAAGCTGCTGATGGCATCCAAGAACAACAGAGGCAGGAACAAGCAGGAAAGAAGTAGGTAGTTTTATTTTGTCAAATGTGGGATGACTTAGTGCAAACATGACTTAATGCATTGAATATCCGTTATTGTTTTAGTTAAAAAAATATTAATTATCCATATAACTCTTCAGTGTGGAAAATGCAGGGAACATTTCTTACACTTTTCTCTTCCAGGGGCTAGTGAAAGATTAAATTCTTAATTAAAGAGTTTTATCTTGGTATTTTGTCTTACGAAAAAGTTCCTAATTCTTAATTTGCTTTATAAAAAGAGTTCCCACTTCCAAATGTTTTGTTTACTGGGCGTATTAGTTTCTGTAAAAATATATTTCTTGTTATGAAGATTCAAGGACACTTCTGTCATCTCCAAATAACTGAAAGGTCTCTTGTATAACTAATTTAGTATCTCATAATGCTTTATTGTTAGAAGTGCATGTAAATGTTCACATTGTCTACTACAGGCTGCTACTGATTTTCTGAAGCTTTTGAAGCTTTCAGAAACTATCTGCTATGTTTTTAAATTGTGCTTTCTAAGTAGCTCCCAAGCTCTTGGGGTTGGGGAAAAAACTGGCAGAATTAACAGTGACCTGTCTACAGCTGGAAGGTAACGGTAGCACTATAAACTTCTCAGATACCTGTGAACTTAGACAAACTTGCAAAAAGAGATATATATTGTGTGGATGAAAAGTAGTTCCAACATCCTTACCTGTAAAAGGTATCCTCTACGACGATAACCTTTAAGAGAGTGTCTGGTTTCAGTGTATCTTACTTCACCTGGGCTGCTATGGAGTGATAATTGTCAGTTATTTTTACACTGGGTCATTTTCACACTTGACTTTGCTGTACCAGCTGTCTCCTTACCTGTTATTTTAGGAATTAAAAAGCAAACAGGAAGAACACACACACACATATATACGTATATGGAAGAATATACTTTTTTTAATGAGTCAGTATGTGTGTATCAGCTGTTCTTGAATATTGATGGAGTGAAAGCCAAAATTGCTGTATGACAATATTTGCAATTAAAAATACTGTCAGTCAATGAGCTACTTGAGAGAAGGCACTACTTTGTTGGTTAGTGTTACTAATTGTCAGGGAAAGCCTAATTAGGTTTTTCTTTAAAGAAACCCAGGAAAAAAAAGCTGCATTCAAAGCTAAAAATCTCAAGTCACTTTTAAAAATTTCTTCTTTCTGTGAAGTTCTTCTGCAACAATCATACAGTTTTCAAACTTGTTAAAACTACTCTCTATTTCCTCCTAAATATTAAGGCTGTCTATGTGACTGTAGTGGGGAGAGTAGTACTGCAGCCTGGCTAAGAACAGGCTATCATGGATTATCAAAAGATTGTCTCCTGTTTGTTGGGGGTGAGGAATTGAAATAGCCTGCTGTTATGTCTTAATGTGGATTTGATTACAAGACTGGCAGAATACACTTTCTGAACTAGTTGTACTTCTCTCACAGTAAAGTCAGTGCAAGCAAGTTATATATTATGATATCACTGACTTAAGCTGAAAAAGGGTTTTCAGGCAGAGTGGGCAGGTAAGGAGGAGAAGGAATTCAGGTTTTCGGAATCAGCTGCAGTGGAAAGTCCATTCCTAAACCCTTAACATATACAGCATTTAGAGTATCATTGCCACTCTTGGATGCTTGGCAGTGCTTTCTGTTTTCCTGGCTCCAACTCATGTATTTATAATTAAATGAAATATTTCTTATATACAGACTTGAAATCCATACTGGTTTTGCTGTTGCTTTATGGCAAACTTCTTCAGGTCTTCAGGACAATGTTTTAGAAGGTGTTAAATTAGTTTCAGTTTTTAGTACTGAAGGATGTTTTCTTTGCATTTGGTTCTTTAAGTATAAAAGTTGGGAATCCTGTACAAATAAATATTTAAGAATTCACTTAAGTATGAAAAGATATTGGTTTAAAACCAGAAGTATGTGTAAGATTAACATATTTGTGTGTATAAACAGTGATAGTCTGAAACTAGATCGCATACTGGAAGTATCTTGTTTTAAATGCTTAAAACAAGGTTAAATGCTCACAATTAACAGCATTTTATTTAATGCTAAGGATGTATTGCCTTTCAGGAAAAACCTTAGTTTATATCAAGAATAACTCCTGTTATTATCTTTTGCAAGTTTGGGAACTACCAAAAAAGGAATTGGTCCAGTATATTCTTCAAAGGCAGCTCGAAGTGGACTCAGGATGTGTGATCTTGTTTCTGATTTTGATGAATTTTCTGAGAGGTAACTTCTGTATTTTAATACAAAGTTGTAAGCCTAGTTTTCAGTTTCTGGGTAGTACCCTGTGTAAGCAATTACATCTGGTTCCTCCTAATTTTATTTTAAAATTAAAATGATTTTTAAATATAAAAATAACTTTATAATTTTATTAAATAATATAGTCAATTATTGGCATAATTTATTATTTTAAATTGTTAAATTACCAAATTATTGCAGATATGTAACCAGTAAAACCTAAGGTTGTGGAGGGTTAAGGCGGAAAACAAACAAACAAAAACCGTAACGCAGCATTCTTGCCTTCCAGGTTCAAAGTGTTAGCCAATCAGTACAAAGCAATATATCCTACCTTAAAGATAGATATTGAAGGGGAATTGGAAAAGCTCAAGGTAAGCCTGCTTCTGTCTCTTGAATTATGTGATCACTGTGTGCAGCTACTGATACTTAAATCCCTTGGTGACTGCTGCTTGCGCTTGTGTGAGGAGTTAAAACAGAATACATATCATGGAAAATCGTTATGTATCCATTTTGAAGAGTCTGCTATCCTTAAGGACACTTTTTACACCACTTTATGCAACATTTCAATACTCGGTTTCAAGAGAAATATTGTAAATTTTAAGAAAAAGGCTTGCATATGGAGAACGATTTTTTTACTTAATTCCCCTGGCTCAAACATACTGTCTAGGATTAAAAAAACCCAGGACTGTAGTTGGGTAAAGTATGTTTCATTGTAAAGCAGAATATTAATTGCTTGTGTCAGAAACTTAAGAACTGAAGTAAATTGTTATTCTAAGTAACAAACCTTAAGAAAAGAAAAACAACCTATGTCTAGCAGTATAAAAAATGTAAGTTGATAGCAGCAAAACTAATGAAGCATGATTATCAGCAAACTAGTCTTGTGGTTAATTACAGTTTCTGATTTGGTGTTTTCCCTGCAATTGGGGCAGTTGAGAGATTTCTCACTAGTGTTAACTTCTTTTTGCACTCATCCAAGTTCTTATTTGAAAAAACTGTGAAGTGTCTTACCCTTACACTCAGCCTTTTTGTTAATTTTTATAGAAACTTAACTATATGAGATTTTTTTTTTACCTTTAGAAAACTTCAACCAAATGTGACACACTGTTTAAAACCATTGAGGTATGTGTGGAACAGGGAGTTATTACACGTTTAATTTTTTCAGAAAATCAGGCTGAAGAAATCATCCTTCTTGTACCCTTAGTTGGCACTAAACTCATTTCTACAGATCTAGAATAGAATATATGGGAGTTCTTAGCACTTCTGTTTTTCTTACTTGTGCCTGTTGCACATGTTGAGTTGTAGTATTTTTATCAGTGTGTAGACCTAGAAACCTGTTAGTTGAGTACTTCATAATGCTTTATAGTTTACTTAATACAAATTAGGATTACAGAATATCTAAAACTCATTGTTAGGGTGGAAACACAACATGTATTTGTAGCTTGAGGAAAATTACTTGTGTTATGCTAATACGCTTCATTCAGTTCTGAAAGACAAAGTGTTATATTTCATGTGAAGTAAATTGTTAGAATGAGAACTTCCACATGTTCTAATGGGGAAAAAGACTGTGTACCGAGTGATAATCTGAAAATTACTGGCTTCTTGCCTCCAGCTGCTCAGTGGCATTCAAGCATTTGACCCTTAATTCCAATATGTAACTTTTTTCTTTTACTTATGAATTACAATTTACAATTGTGTGCATTTGTTGGCTTCAGAGGACCAGAAGTGAAATTCCCTGGGTTTTGGGGAGAATTCTGAACACTCGGAAATGAAATACCAAACACAGTAAAGTATAGTGATTATAGTCATGCTTGAATATTTCTAAAATATTCCAGAACTTTGGATTTTATTTCTCTGCTCCCCTTCCCACACCTTTTTTCTTTCTTTCCTCCTATGAAGAGAGTACATGTCCATTGTGTAAATCTGAGTCTCATGTTCTTCCTTCCCTTGTTCACATATTGTGTCATATTTAGATTTCTTTGTTTGCTTTTCCTTTTCAGAAGGAGTATGAACATTGTTATGAGGGAACAATAGCAATTCTACTCTAGCTGTCTTTATCATAATGAAATTATACTATACAATAGTCTTTTGTATTATTCAGGGCTACATGGAAAAAGTAAAACCAATGGTAAGGGATGGTGTTTATTTCATGTATGAGGCTTTACATGGACCACCAAAGAAGATCTTAGTAGAAGGTGCAAATGCAGCACTGCTGGACATAGATTTTGGTAGGTATGACCTTTCTGAGACACATGTTGCTGTACACTTATGTTGTGAAAGAAAAACACTAAATATAAACTCTCCCACGCTTAGCTGCTTTTATGGCAGAAGTGTTTTGTATTTTGGAAGAACAATGACTAGCAAATAATAAGGGATGGATGAGTGGGTGTGTTATTTAAAATATTTCAAAAAGCTTTAGACTCTCCCAAAAGTAATTATTTGGATAACAGTAAAGATCAGGTGGCTTTTCTTAGAGTGTACCTATTACTTCAGTGTCTGTAATAACTCACAATTGTATACATCTATGGAGAACACTTGAGAATAGCCATGGAGAACTTTAAGAGGCAAAGTGTATACGCACAATACTTCTTGACTTTTGGAAAATCAGCTTGCCTTTTTTTTAAAGTCTTTATATAACACTTAGTTTTCCACTGTTTCACAATGTCAGGAAAGGTGCCGATAATTGCTAATGAGGCAAGAGTGAAAAGGTTATCCCAATCAATTTGATATTAAAAATGGTGCAGTTTTTCTTAAAACTGTGATTTTGCTAATAAAATTAGAAACTTCTAGATAGAAGCAGCTTCTTATTTTTTATGACATGATTTTGTTTGGTTGTCATTATATTGTAAGAACAGGTAATTTATTATACCTGTGTGTGTATATATATGTATATATATCTCATAGCCTCTATGGTTGGCTCCTGCATTTTGTCACATTTTTCTTCAATCTCACTAGCCTTGTAACTGTAACGTTTTTATTGTTAGAAAGATGCTAAAGCCTGAAATTGAAGCCTGTAAGGAGTGCTGTCAAACAAATATAAACCTGACGTGCACTCTGCTTTCAACTGACAGGAGTTCTGACACTGGATATTTTCAAACATACTGAATTTGAAAGCCTCTTCCTTTAAGAGGAAAAGATATGTCTTAGACTAGTCACTCTAAGTGTAAGCGCACCAAGTTTTCCGATGATTATCTGCATATTAGAAGGACACGTCCTTTTTTAACAAGTAAAAAAAACAAAGAGGAGAGAATTCTTCAAATATACTTGTCACAGGGAAATCTTTGATGCAAAACTGAGGTATTTACAGAAAACTCTAGGTGGTTGTTTTTTGTAAGTGGTGAGGATTTTGGATTTCATATAAATAGGAGATGCAAATAATCTGAAACTCGTCAGGTGTGTCTGTGATATATACAGAGTTGCTTGGGTCACTTGGATTTATTTTTTTTTCTGTACCTGTGCCATGAGACCCACAACAGAATATCTGCTCTCCTTAGGTAGACACCATCAGTAGATTGGACACTTGGGTTTACGGTAGATGAGCCATAGTCAAAAGGTTTGACAATGCCAAATTTGATCATTAAGCATTCTGAATGAGGCTTTTTCTGTGCCTGGTTGCATAAAAGTCTTAATCCTGAAGTGAGTTTTATGAATGTGTGTCTGTTGTCAGTGAAGCTGGTAAATCCCCAGCCTTGCAGTCCATCACACTTTTTTGGAGCCTGTAATGAAGCTCACGTATGCATTTTTCTGGGGGTGGGGGTGCAAGTCTGGGGCTATGTGGTCTCCTGTTTTAAACACTGAATGAGGATAAACCAATGTAAATATATTAGGCTGGGAGATAAAAGTGAGTAAGAATTGTCTCATTGACTCTGTTTTTGACCTCTGCTTGCTATATTTACCTGTCAGTAAACAAAACCTCAACTACTTTGTGTTCTAAGAAAGATAAAGACTAATGCTTGCAAACTGCTGTTACATATCACCTGTAAGCCTGGGTTTTCCTCTTGAGCTATCTTGAGTTAAGCAAAAGAAGCTAGAGATACCTGAAGCTAATCTGCAAAATGTCACTGAACAGCCTCTGAAGGATTTTGACTTTTTAAAGTTGTCTGTAGTGCTGAAAGAACTCTGTTGCTTTCAGTTCCTTTTATCTTGGTTGTTCCCCTCTTACCCATCTCTGACTCGTATCAAAAGACAAAAAAGAAGTCTGATGCTTGAGGTAGAAGTTTCTTGATTATGTGCCGTTATTATGAGACTGAAGTGTTTGTTCACAATTCAGCTAAGGACTGTCATGCTCTGTTTCATTTTCTGTGATTAAAAAAAAAAAAAAAAAGAAAAGGTATAAACCTAAGGATTTCGAGATGTTTAACTCTTATCTTTGCAGTCCAGGTTGCATTTTAAATGAGGGATAACTATTTAACTAGAAACAAACTTTTACCACTAATTAACTAAACTACCTTCCAGGAGTCTTCTGTTTTAAATGACTTTTTTTCATTTGATTATGGAAGCAAAGTTGTTCTTGCCAGAACGCTGGGTTTTATTGCAATTTCTTATCCTTATAGTGTGCTGACCAGTATGTAGAGATTGTATTTTATTTTTTTGCCCAATATTAAAAATGGCAAACTTGTATTCTCTAACCTTTTAATACTATTTTCTTAAGTCTCCACTTAAATTTTTGCATTGTTCTGTTGGTGACTATATCTTATATAAGATAGCAAGGCATGGTTTTCTGGTGTCTCACTCCAGTTTTTTATTTGTATGATCATTCAGAATTGTTATGTAGTCAACCTTCCCCTCTGTACCAGTTGAAGTAAGTGGTAAGATTTCTACCTTTTTCAGTAGAGGTGGACACTTTACATACAAATCTAAGAGCTCGCTGAATGTGTTCTTGACTGCAAAATACATTTATTGTGTGTTCTAGTTTTTAGTGTTGTAAAACCTAGGTAAGTGCAATGCAAGTACTATTTATCACCGGTTTAGATCTTTAAAAAAAACCCAACACCTTAAAACCAAGTTTTAATAAGTTTCTAAAATCATTGAGTTTATTTTTTAATAGGTACATATCCTTTTGTGACTTCATCAAACTGCACAGTTGGAGGTGTGTGTACTGGTCTGGGCATGCCACCACAGAATGTTGGGGAAGTGTATGGAGTTGTGAAAGCATATACAACAAGAGTTGGAATTGGTGCCTTTCCCACAGAACAAGATAATGTGAGTATTATAGCCCTAGATGTGACCTGTGACTGGATCAAATAACTTGTCTCTCTTATGTTAAATCAGAGTTAATGGTTAAATGCAAGTAGATGACTGTGGTTGGATGTCTCAATCTTCTGATTCTATACTGAGCTTACAGGGCTGCCAAATATGGCTGTAAGTTTCTTAAACCTTTCTATGGAATAGAAGGCTAGAGCAGGAACAAATTTTGAGAAGTTTGCGTAAAAGGCATTCTCTTGAAGTAGAAAGAGCGTTCTGTATTTCTGTTTTCATCCCAACAGACAGCACTGTGAAAATTTCTTAAGGTAATTTACCATATTTTATAAAATGTTGTTAAGTAATCACCTGCGTGATGTGTTGCAAAGCAAAAAAACCAACCCACTTATGTGATAGTCTTACTCTTTGTTAGGAAATTGGAGAATTGCTGCAACTGAGAGGTAAAGAGTTTGGTGTTACCACTGGTAGAAAGAGAAGATGTGGCTGGCTGGACCTGGTGTCACTCCGATACGCCTACATGATTAATGGATTTACTGCGTGAGTATTTTTGACAGCTTTGCTGGCAAACTGACATAAAATCATGAAATGCTGCAGATTACTGTAAATTGTACATATGCTAATTAGTAACATTCAGACTGTTAGTATTGATTTGTTGATTGTTAATTTAAAATAAGATGCAGCCAGGTATTTGCAGAGCCAATGTTTGATTATTTTGCTGCCTTCGCTGTAGGACAGGAATATTTGGCAGAGGACAGGAACAGACAGCAACAGGCATCATGAAATGAAAGAGTCTCAAATGGATGGTCATAAAGTATCTTGGCAACATGCTCATTAAAAATATAAATTATATATTATCATTAGAATTATAACACTTTAAGCTATAGACCAATCACTTCAACTAGAGAATACCTGTTTTTTGATTTTTGCCATTTTCTTGTAGTACTAGATCTAAGGATGCAACAAAAAGGATGTTTAAGGCTTTTTGTTTTATTGTTTTGTTTGGGTGGTTGTTGTTTTTTGGAGATTTTTTTGAAGTCAGACCAGATAGTAGATTAGTGCCACATGAGATTAATTGCAATTTGCAGAAATCAGTGGTATATTTGATTTTTTTGTTGTTGTTGTTTACAATGTGATAAGATTCATGAGTTGTTGAACTTGTTTAACCGGAGTAGTGTTTCTTTGTAGATTGGCACTTACCAAATTGGATATCTTGGATGTATTTCCAGAAATCAAAGTTGGCGTTGCATACAAACTAGATGGTGAAATCATACCTCATTTTCCTGGTAAGATTTCTTGTTTAACAATTTTAGATTTTGGTGAAATATAATCTGATACTTTAAATGCATTTTACTTGTAAAACTTAGGACAGTAGTGTGTTACTTCAGTATCTAGCCATTAGTGTCTTCCCAGATGCAGCAGGGACATCTATTACCACACCTGTACCTGCACCCTGAAGACACCTGTACCAAATACTGTCGTTTGTCTGCTAGAAAGATGCAAAGTGCTATATAAAGCTTCTAAAACAGAAATGTTGTTACTACTTTATCCCTTTTCTTTTATACAACCCAAATCACCTTCAAGCTAAATTAGAAGCTTGATTCATACTCTTAAACCCAGTTATCTTGTTCCCACTACTGTATTGTTCCCCATTTTTAGCAGGCCAGGTCTCATTTAAGCATGTTGTGAACCACATGAGAGACATGGTGTTGTTGAAAAGCCACGTTTTTCTCTCTGTGTGTTACTTTCATAACAGTTCACTTCCTTAAATGGTTCACAGAGCAGCCAAAAACCCTTTACACCTATGAAGTGGAAAAGAGAGAAAAGGGGGTGGAGGAGGAAATGAACAATTAGTTTAGGTGAAAGCAAGTCTATTTTCTAATGCATGATAGAAACTGTAGCTCCTGAGGGGGGACAGTGGTCATTTTAGTGGTCTTTTTTACTTCATCAGTGTACCTGCATGTTAAAATATTCAACTACCACAAGCCAGTGTTTTTATAGATAATGCATCTTGTTCAGTTTGCAGTAGTAGAGATACTCCAGAAAAAAGGAAGAACATTAGACAGTACGAAAGACAGGGCTTTTTTATTTTTCTAATGTGTGCGTAGATGCCCATTTTCATTCTGATTGGTAACTTGGGTAGAGGCTGGTTACAGGTTACAGTTTTCCATATGATGTCATCAACAGAGAACTTTTTGTGGGCGAGATCAACTGTAGTAATTGGATACAACTCACAGCAGGATTTATGAAGTACAAAGACGTAATTACTTATAAAGGAGTAAGTGATGATCTGCCAGTAGTCCTTGAAAATAGCACATACCTGGTAGAGGAATTCATAAGGAATTAAAAAAAAAAAATCTTTTGTTTCTCCATGTGCTTGTGGGAATCCTCTGATTTGCCTTTCAGTATCTTCAAACAAAAGTGCCAGTTAGTCTGAATGCATGCTGAAAGACATGTCATGCACTTTTATTCAGGAAATTAGTACTCATCTTGCACTAAACCAGGGAATGCTTTTCCCTTTTTAAGACTCAGATAATCCCAATTGATACCCATATCAAAACATTAAGGACATTTGTATATGCTTTAAATGGCCTTTGAACATAATGGAGATTGCATATTTGAATTGAGAACTACTCAGTAGATGCTTTTCCTGTAGCCCTGTCATCTAACCTGAGGCTATTTGGTCTGTCTTGTTCTCAAGCCAGGGGGACCTTCTCTGGCAGTCCATCATTAAAGATGACATAAGCATGTGGCCATGTTGTCCAGTGCTTTTTTTTTTATTCATTGCGTGTCTCAGAACCAGAATCTGGTTACATACACCTCCTGAGGAGGCAGACTTTGTCCCCTTTGTATGTACCCAGGTAGCTGACCTTTTGGTCTTAGCAGCATAATGTGGCTCATCTGCCTAACTGTGTTTTTCTTTACTGTATGAACAATTAAGAATTCTGGTAGAAATTTAGTAGAAGCTGTTGACATGCTGTCTTCGTTAAAGTGTTAGGAAGGAGTTTGAGCTGAACTTCTGGTAAGCTGGAAGATGCTGTCTCTCACACTGCCTCTGTGTTCCACACCTCTCTTTGCTATACTCCTCAACATTTGGCAGCATTTTCAGCACATATGCTGCAGGTTACCCCTGCCCCGGCACAAAAAAACAAAAGGTAACTTTTCTTCCCACTTTGATTTGCAGACCATTAGACTGTTTCTGATGTCTGCATCTCTGCATGCTGTGTGCTTTTTTTTTCTTTTTTTTTCTTCTTTTTTTTTTTTTTTTTTTTTCAAACTTGCCACTGACATTTGAATTTAATTTAGAAGAGATCTAGTCTGGGAATCTCTCACTGGCATACTATTTCTTTCTCTCTCCCCTTCCTACCCTCCCACTCTCTTGGAGATGTTCGTGATTTACCCTTCTTGTGAAATGACTGTCTCTAAATTAGAAGCACACACAGTACCCACCATCTCAGGAAAAGCATGCCATATTTCATATATTGTTCCTCTTTCCACCTGGATCAGAGAATCATACGAGTCTCACTCAGGGTTTTTTTTTAGCTTAACTTTCTGTGGGCGTTTCATAATGGCTTCTTGAAAAAGAACTTTAAATGTCTTCTTATAAATTTAAAGCTGACCTGGGTTGGTATTATTGAGGTTGTAGTCTTTTGCTGTGGAGCTGGCCAGTCATAGGAGTTCATGGAAGACAACTCTCTGGTAGCTCTGAGCTAATCAGTTTAAAAGGAATGTGAAAGCTGTGGTCTAGTTTTCGTAAGGCCTCCTATCCAAGTTCAGACATCAGTTGATCTCAGCAGAGAGACACACAACCTCTAGCTCAGGAAACTTTGAAAACACAGATCCTTAGGAAATTGGGAGATTATTTTGGAGAAGCTTCTTGCTTGCTTTTTTTTTCCTTGTGCTTTTTCCCTGGGCTTCTGCTGTAGATCAAAGAGCTGGGACACTATTCTAGATGCACCTTTGTTTGATCTATATGACTGTTTTCATGTTCAGTTTCTGGAAATTGCTGGAGGATCTTTCTTTTACAGTGGTGCCAGGTCCCAAACTCAAGCTATTATTTCTGAGTTGGAAGTAACATCACATCACTCTCCAAATTATATCATTATATATTTGGTCTGTCTGTTATCTAATTAAGCTGTTAAGGAATATTCTAGAAACCCTAAAAGACAAATCCCCTTAGTGAAGAGCTGAGAAATCTAGATGGTGACTACATCTGTTACTGTTACTACATTGAGCTCAGTTTATGACTTATATTTACCACACATCTTTTATCACACCTGCTGGAACAAAATTAAAGAATCATTTGAAACATCAAGAAATGTATCCCTTCTTTTTCTTCTCTCTTATGGGGAAGTAAGGAATTGAGCTAATACAGACTAATGGAAGATGGTAGTCAAAATGAGACCATTCAATTCCAGTTGCTTTCAGCTTTCTCCCTCTAACCTCATCAGAGAGGCTTCAAAGTAAAAATGCCTGTGGACATCCCAGATGAGGTGTTCAGTCACTTTCCCTTTTCAGAAAGAGAGGTCAGCGACCATCTGCACTGCCTGGAGATTAGTTTGTGGTTTTGCACTTTGAGTATATCTATTCTGTTTTACAGATCCCCTGGACAGCAGACACCTCAGTTGTTACTGCTGGCAGTTAAGAAAGTGCTTACTCCTGGCCTCCCCAACCCAACATACTTATTGTGCCTGTCTGTTTGGATTACCACAAGTATTGAGTCAGGATCGTTTGCCTTTAACCTGTGAACACCTCAGTCCAAAAATGGCGCAGTTCTTCGCTGTTTTGAGGACAGTAGAGCAGAGTTTCTTTCTATCTTACTCAAAATGTGTGGTTCATAAAGGCTGTCCTTACAACCTTGCTGTTGTTGAACTACTGTCTGCACCAGGACAAATTGTTCAATATGCTGAGTCTGAGTTTGTTGGCTATGCACATACTGGAGGGGATTAATTATGGCTTCGTATTTGTACCTCTACTGTGCCTCTTGCACCTAAAACCCTCTCCTAGGCTGACTAGATGTCTTTGCAAGAGCAACTTGATGTAAGACAGGGAGCCCATGTAATATTAATTACAGTGCCTCTGGCAGGCCCCTGTCTTTTTTAGAAAGGCAAGAATGAATGCGTGCCACCTCCCATTTTTTTAATCAAATGTATTTTGACCATTTTCAGGCTTAAGGCTTTTTTTTTTTTTGCTGTCCTGTGTCATTCCAAGACTAATGTTCAGATAATTACTGGAGTGATTGAATTCCAGAACAATATGCTTAGCATCTTTTTCAGTACTTGAAATCATCACAGGGTTCAGAGTTAACGGGCAACATTGTAGCAAATGAAGGACAAAATGGAATGTACTTATTGCTTCTATTCTGAGAAGCAACTGGAACAGTTACGTTTATACATCCTGTGGGACTCCACACTGGTTGACAAATCCATTGTAGAGTTTTGGGGCAAAGGGTCTGTGGGCATCAGAATTCTGTTAAGTATAAACTACATCCTATGACTATGTTTAGTAAAAGTACACTCCTATGCCATTTTAAAATGTGTTTTAACTGCCTTACAAGCTGGTGCTTAATTTTGCATTCACAATTCCCTCATGAAGGTGGAGCTGGATCTTGGTATTTGTTCAGAAAAAAAATCAACATTTTTGGGAATTATTTTCCCCAAAAAGTTGTTTTCTGAACTGAAAAGATTGTGGTTTAAGCAAAATAAATGCATGTGACTGAGCACTGGAATTCCTGAAGTCTAAGTCCTGATAGTTATTGGATTTTTCCCCTATGCTTATATTAACAAAAAAAGACACCTTCAATGCCTGTATTATCTTATGAGCAAACCTCTTTGTGTAAGAAAAGAATAAAAAGCTTTACAGTTATGTGTTTCATAATAGAGAATGTATAATATAACATTTTTGTTTCTCTTTGCTCCTCAGCCAACCAGGAGGTCTTAAATAAAGTAGAGGTTCAGTATGAGACACTCCCAGGATGGGATACGGACATATCAAATGCAAGGGCGTTTGACGAGCTGCCTGTAAATGCACAAAATTATGTTCGCTTTATAGAAATGGAGTTGGGTGTTCCTGGTAAGTAAAACAGATTTTCTTGCTGGTTTGGTTTATTCCTGCTCCATGAAACCTGTCTGGTATTTGTATTAATGAACATGCAAAATACTGAAAACTAGTTTGTAGCTGTCATAATTGTGATGTACCTGGTGACACCTGTGATGATGGTTTTACTTCTTTTTATCCATCTATTTTGTTGTTGAACTGAAAATTTTCAGAAGCTTTAATATGCTTCTTTCTTTGGCTTATACTATAGTTCTTGTTCAACTGAGATTTTTTTGGTTGTTTTATAACTTGCTTAAGTGTCTTTCAGATTGGTTATCAAAGGAGTTTAGTTTTGCTACTTTATGAAGTCAGTGGGACTACTGGTTATTAATTAACGTGATTAATTTTGTGTGATAAGAGTTCTTAAACTAATAAATTTCTCTAGTGCTTCTTAATAAAGATGATCCTGTGGTTCCAACCAAAGCTGGGAATTAGGAGATGATGCAAATCTTTACTTTTTTAACAGTTTCTATTTGTCTTTTCATCTGGAAAAGCAATTCATTTATTATGGCAGCTTCAAGACTGTACCTGCTTTTCTAAGTTACCAGTGTGTTCTTACTTTGAGAACAACAGACATGGTTATAATTTCTTAATGTGCAAATAGTATATGCTGTGTTTTTATTCAGACTGTGGTACTTAAGATCTTAAGTGCTTAAGAAGATAAGTGCGCATCTTAAGATACAATCCGCTCTTGCTTTGTATTACTTACAATAAAAGTTTGCTTTTCTCTCCTGCAGTTAAATGGATTGGAGTAGGGAAATCCAGGGAATCAATGATCCAGCTGTTTTAAAGATTTCAGATGCATGGAAGAAAGCACACTCCTCAAAAGACTGCTCATTCTTAAATGCATTAGTAGCCCGCAAAGCAAAGATGTTGGAAAGATAGATTTTTGCATGGAAAGAAATGCTAGAGTTGATACCCCCAAATCAATTGCTACTCCTGAAAGAGACTTTAACATGAACGTTTATCAATTCTTGTTCAACTGCAATTTCCAGGACACTTGTCGTTGTTGTTCAAGGTGCCATCAGATTTTTTTTTCTTTACCAAATACTTCATAATGTAATTCCTGTTTGAAAATCTAAGGTAGCATTGCTTTCATGACTGTTTGTCTTTGTTATCCTCTCTCTGCTTTTGGCGGTGTTACTTCCCTGAAATTTTAGACAGTAAAAATAATGCAGTTTTGCACAGATAGTTTTACATCCTCATTATTTGTATTCCTAAGGCTGTTGTATTCTAAATGACTGCTCTTGTGAGTAATTAAAGAGGGGGAGTCCGATTTTATAATGCTATAAATGCTGTCTAAATTATTGTGTGATCTGTTTTTTAAAAGATGTGATGCCAAGTTGTTAAGAATGTCCAGGTTTTTTTATCTGTATAACACAGAAAACTTACTCTTTGTAACTCACAGAGGATACTCAAGTGTTTACCAGGAAGTGTGCCCAGAAAGTTAGAAAATTGATATTGTAAAAAGTTCATTTGCAATTATTAAAGAACTATTCTGATTTTCAGTTAAATGTTTTATAATGTTACTTTTTTTTTCTGGCATTTTATTAACTGTGCTTCTCTGCTTCCAAGGCACAGATCTTAAACTGTTTCCCTAATTAAATGAGGTTATATTTATATTTGGTGAGAAGTCTAACATTTTGGTGGCCTTTTAAATTCCTTTCTTTAGAGTCAATAGAAGATGTTTGTCTGGAGAATTGCCAAAGTGCAGACACTTTGTGATTATAAGTTGAAGATGCTTTAGAAATAACATTTAAAGTATTCCATGTATTTGCTTTAGATGTAGAGTAAATAACAAGTGTTCACCTCAAGATATCTGACATATTTTGGCTTTTTATTGTTGAGTAATGAGAAAATGTTCTAGAACTATTTAAATTTATAACCATTATTACATATCCCAGAGAATCTGATTACTTTTTGCAACAACCCAATAGCTGCATATTCCCTTTCCAGATTTCTTGACAATGACTGTTTTTACACATTATACTACGGTATTCGTATGCTTCTTTTCACTTTAAAATAAAACTTACTTTGTTTCCTAAAACCACATTTGTATCAGGGTGGGGCACTATTTTAGATTTAGTTTAGTAGTTTTCAGCCATGCAGATGAATATAAGAAATTTCTAATACAAAATAAAAGATACAAGGCCTTTTGGTTTGTGTGGAGTAACCATATACTGTCTGAAATGGAATAGATTTGTTGGACTGGATCTGCTGTTGAGGTGTTCAGCACAATGTTTATATTCTAAATTGACCCAAAATAAAATTGCTTATCGTAAGAGGAAAGACAGGAGGGTTGAAGGATAAAACTACTGATATTTAAGGAACATTTTCTACTGAGTTGCTTGCATGTGACAGAGCAGTTAGCAGGGTGTATATTTTACTTGAGTAATGTGTAGAAGGAGTAGGATACCACCCCTGTGCATCAGCATTGCATGTAAAGATGATTGTCCTTTGTGTTAAAATCAAATAACTTGACGCTTGTTTTTTCTCGGAGGGCACGAGAGTCTAGTTTTGCTGTCAGCCTCACAGTCCAGGAAGGAACCATAGCATCCCTTTCTAGCTGAAGGACATCTTGAACTGAAAATATCTTTCTAATCTCCTGATGGAGAGAAGGAGGGATATAACTGTGTGAAACATAAATTCCAGTGTATTTAGAAGAAAAAAAATATTGCTATTTTCTAGGCAATAGAGAGAATCGACCTTGGAATGTGAACACTAGGTAATAATTACTGAGTATTCTTGTTTTCCTGTAGCTGTAGGAGGCACCAAAGGGATTTCTGCTATCAGTGAAACTACTGTCCAAGGACTAGGGGTCTAGCTGGTTCAAGAAGTGAAGAAATAGATAAATGAGGGCATGCATTTCCTTCTGCAGTAAGTAATAAATAAAACACAGCTATGTAGCTTTGTTTCATTTCTTCAAAGCAGAGACCTTCAAGTTCAGGGCATGTTTCAGTTCTTCCATTGTTGTTACTCCACTGTACACACTACTGTTGTTTTTCAGTGGAGGAATTCATATTCCCAGATGCAGCAGTATTTCTAAGCAATACAGCTACAGCGTACAATGATACAAAGTATTTGTGCAGTATTTTGAAAGAAACAAAACAGAATTGTCTTGGATGCAATAGTGATTTATGTTCTTTTGCTTTCTTTTAATTTCAGCTGAGATTTTTCTGTGGTTCTTCCACTCAGGTGCAGGCCTGGAAAGTTGAAAACGTCCTCCTAGGATATGTGTGGTCCAGGATCTGTTGATGTATATTTACTCTTATGACCTGGAGCGAAGAATTTTTCTTTTCCAGTTTCAGGTGGTTAAGCTTGGCATCTGTAAAGCTATCATGTTGTCCCTGCATGCTAGTTTTGCCCAAGTTTTCCTGGAGTAAATTCTTGGACCTGGTGCACAAACACTTTCCTTCTGTTAAAGAATTTCCCCCTCCCCCAATGGGGCCTTTTCTACCTTTTATTTCATTTGCACATAGTGGGAAAGGCTGTGATGTGTTATCACCAACTTGACTGTTGTGGAAACAAATATTAAAAGTTTCAGAGATTGTTTCAAGCTTCATGTTCAACTGTGGAAGCAAGAAGGAAGAAGAGACCAGTAGCTTAATACTCTGCCACCTGCAGCCTGTTCAGCAGGGGCAAAGTTAAATAGCTTTGAAGACACATGCAGTTTTTTCCTCTAGATAAAATCCAGTGTTTTGCTTTCTTTCCTCCCCACCCTCCCTTCATTAGTCAAGAACCCTTTGGTCCAAAAGGAATGCCACACTTAGTGACAAAAGGCTTTCAGTTGTCTGTCACAGGCTAGTAGTGAGCTGTAATAAAAAGAAAAACATTCATGCTTGAACAAGCATGTATTTCTTAGGTCCATCCTGTATGCTCCATCTCTGAAGTCTCTTCTGTTGTTGGCATGTAAGGGGAGAGGATGGCAGCATAGGATAGTAGTTGAAATTGATTCTCCTCCAAGCATCCCCTCCCGCTAATGGGATGTTTTCAGGAGGAATGGATACCTGTTAGACCCAACAAGGCTGATGACAGACAGGGTATTTTGATCTCATTCTGTTCTTGCTGCCACTGAAATATTTACAAGGTTGATTCTCCCCGGCTTGTGCTTTACTGCAGCATTAATAGCCCTTAAGTCCCTACAGTTTGGTGAGCCTCCTTTACGAACTAGATAGGAAGGAAAGCGAGGGATACTTCTGCTGCTTAGCCTTTCCATTTGTGTTCCACGTGTAATTGGGTTTTGGCATGCAGCTAATGGACAAAACCTTCAGATAAAGTGGGAGATAGATAATGTTGATGTCCTGCATGACAGCTGCTTTTGTCTATCGTCATCCTGGAAGCCTACATCCTAATAGAAGATGATAGTTTGCTTTTGATGTCATGGCCAGCTCCCTTAATGAACCATAATTGAGGGTTTGACTGGTTTAGAAAAAGTAAAAGCCAAAGTAACTGGGAATGAAAGTGACAACTCAGTCTGGTGAGTTTTCTCCTGCCCATACTGTTCCTGGTCTCTGAAACAGTGAAACTTAGTAAACCTGGTGTTACGGTAATCAAGCACACTTGTTTTTGGTGCGTGACAGCTTTACCTACTGAAGGTAAAGTACAGACTGCTGTGCATGCATATGTACACACAGGTGATGCATAATTTGAAGAGACTTAAAGTTTTACACCATTTTTTGTTGGGCTGAGTGTTACAACTTATCTGACGTATCATCTTTAAAATACCTTGCAATAGATACACATTCAAATATGTTCCATTCAACTTTAAACAGATAAAGGTGAGTTAAATCCTGATGATCTTCACTGTCACTTTAGAACCACTAAATCAATTTATCGAAGTAATATACTTTCTTTCACTAGGTTAGATTTTTTAAGTGATTTATCAATTTGTGCATACATCCAGGTACTTAGTCTTTAGTTCTTTTGATGCACGCTACTAGCCTTATCTACAGTGTGTTTGAGTAACTATTTTTAGATAACAACTGCAAAGTACAAATAATTTTCCTTGTTCATTGGATGCCCTCTGCATTGTTACAGAGGGAACTGGGGTACCTGAGTGTTGATAGTTGGTATGGCTTTGGGGGCAGCTCTTTTTTTCAAAAAGTGAGATGACTGTTAACTTTTTTTGTGCATGCAAGTTAGGACTAGTTCACTTACAGTGAGGCAGACCTCCCTAGTTCATCTTGTGTGTCCCTTTCGACAAGAAAACCAGCATGGATCACTTAATTGAGTTTAGACAGGGTAAATCAAATGTGGCTTTTTATGAAGTTTGATTGTACCAGTCACTAGTGATCTTTCCCTGAGAGCTGAATTGTCAGAGTCAGGTTGGAATGGGATTTCAGCTTTGTAGTTTACTGGAACCAGTTGCAGTTTAGTGAAAGATCTGGGCAAAAAGCATAAATCATTCTGTAATCTCATGCTGACATATGGTATGTAAATACCATGATCCACCCAAAGAGTAGCCAGCATTATAAATGTACTTTCTAATCTCCTGCTGAAATGAGCGCTCAGTATAATGCAGCTGTAATCTAATAGATATTAACAGCCTGAGAATGTACAGTAAGACCTTAATAATTCAGTATTGTTCAATTGGCTCTGACTTGTAATTAGCTTGATAAGGGTTGTGCCTCTTGCAGTCAAGCAACTAACTGTATTAGTTTAATATCACTAGAATTTCCAAAGCCTTGACTTCCCAACAGAAATAGCCAGTGACATTCTACTATTTTTTTTTAATTAAACATTTTTGAAGTTAATATGCAATACAACAAATTTTCATGATGGGAAGAAGTCCAGATTTTTTTTACAATGATTTCCATTCTAGTTCTTATATACATGATAAAGTCATGCAGCACTCTTTTATGGCTTAAAACTTTTGGGTGTAGTTTTGGTTTACACTGCCTGGATTCTCTTGTTCCTCTTGTAGACCAAAGTCATAAAAAAGTCATTAGAAGTTGTTGCAGCATTGCCTACAATAGGCATAAAAGGGGAAGGCTTATTCCACAGGTCTAGTGGGTTTACTTTGATGCACAAACTTACCCTGGAGCTCCTCTGGATGCAGGTGCCTTGTGGACCCATCCTAGTTGTGCGGGATAGAAATTGGACATCCTTTCCAGGAGGAACAGCTGAGCTGATGAATCAAACAAAAAGAAGTTAGTGAAGGTATAAGGAGGAGGCCAGAGAGCAGGAATCCCACCCAAGCTGTGGAAAAGTAATTTATTTTGTGTGGCAGTTATGGAAAAAAAATATTTTTGTCCCAGTACAGAGCTTACAAATGAATAAGGGGATGGCATTGA